GGTAGTGATAATCATCGGTGAAGTCAGTGACATAAAACAAAGGATGGAGCCAGTAATATAAACAACAGGATTATGGCTGAATTTGTTGAGTTGATGGTACGCTGGTGTATGTATAGCCTTGGTCACGGTTGATTGACGGCTGGAGTCTTTTGATGTTGATGGCTTCTTGTTGTTTCCTGATCTTGAAGTCTCTCCCACTGAATGCTGTGGTTTGGTTGTCACGGATTTGGTCTGATAGAGCTGATTTAGAGTCATCTTTGGAGACTGAGCTTTGATGTTCTTTTATTCGGGTTTTGAGGGGCCTAGATGTTTCTCCTATGTAAGCTTGTCCACAATTGCATGGAATGTGGTAAACTCCTCCTGATGGTTCTAGCTTGTGGCTGGTGGTTTCCCTGTGGCTTTAATTGTGTTCTGAATGGTATGACTTCTCTTGAAAACTACATCAATGTTGGCCTGTTTCTTTAAGAGTCTCTGGATTTTGTGGCTTACTGTTCCAAAGTAGGGGAGGCTGATCACAAAGGGTGCAGACTGTTGACGTGGGGATTTCTGAGATTTCTTGGTTTTGTTCTGTATTGTCTGTTGTACTAGTTGCTCAGGGTAGAGGTTATGCTGTGTAAATACTTGTTTGAGGTGGCTTAGTTCAGTAGTTAGATGTTGCTTCATGGAACAGATGTTGTGACCTCACAACAGAGCCATAACTCTGTAAACAAGAGTCATCAGAAGATGACAAATCCCCCCCCCCCCCCCCCCCCCCCCCCCCAGGCCACCACAAATTCAAAAGAACAAATCATTTGACTGTTACTTTAAGTCCAACTTGAATTTCTATCTAATCTGTCTGTCCATATATAAGAGTAGTTATGTAGCTATCAAAACAATACCATGGAATTGGGTTTCGGAACTTTGTATTTCTATGTCAGGTGCACACCAATATGAACAGAGTCAAAGTCAAACTTGTTGCCATGGTAATGGAAAAAAATATGAATTCTAAACACCCCTTAGTAGCAAAAGGCACCATTTGACAACCTGGTCTATGTGTGTGCAAAGTGTCAAGAAAGTATACCTATTAGTTATAGAGACATGGTCAGGACAAACACACCACTATGAACAGAGTCAAACTCAACCTTGTAAATAGCAAAAGGCATCACTTCAGGATCTGTTTGATATGTCTGCCAAATTTTGTTGAAAAATATTGGATGGCTTTCGAGTCGTGCTACAGAAACGAAATGATTACAGATGGATGGGAGGAGGGATGGATCGACGTAGTGTCAACTATATCCCCCCAGGGATAATAATACTGTTCCGTATTTTTCAAAATCCTAAATCATCAAAAGGCACCAGTTCACCACTAGACTGATCTGTACAGCAAGTTTCATCTTGAAACATTCAATGTTTTTTCAGTTCTGCATTGAAATGAGAACAATCCACATTTTCAGTAATATCCAACCTGTCATCATGAACAAAAATAGAGAAATGAAAAAAAGTGAAAATACCAAATCATTAAAAGGCACCAGTTTACCAAGAGACTGATCTAATAGAGAGTTTCAAACAGGAATATCTAATGGAAATGGAAAAAGGATGGCTGAAGGACTGTCATGCTGACATGGGGCTGTCCAGTCAAGACAGTCGGGGGAACAAGCAATACAACACACGGCAACATAGGGCTGTCCAGTCAAGACTGTGAGGAGAACAAGCAATACAACACACACGGCAACAAGGGGCTGTCCAGTCAAGACAGTGAGGGGAACAAGCAATAAAACACACGGCAACATGGGGCTGTCCAGTCAAGACAGTGAGGAGAACAAGCAATACAACACACGGCAACATGGTGCTGTCCAGTCAAGACAGTGAGGGGAACAAGCAATAAAACACACGGCAACATGGGGCTGTCCAGTCAAGACAGTGAGGGGAACAAGCAATACAACACACACGGCAACATGGGGCTGTCCAGTCAAGACAGTGAGGAGAACAAGCAATACAACACACAGCAACATGGGGCTGTCCAGTCAAGACAGTGAGGAGAACAAGCAATAAAACACACGGCAACATGGGGCTGTCCAGTCAAGACAGTGAGGAGAACAAGCAATACAACACACAGCAACATGGGGCTGTCCAGTCAAGACAGTGAGGAGAACAAGCAATAAAACACACGGCAACATGGGGCTGTCCAGTCAAGACAGTGAGGAGAACAAGCAATACAACACACAGCAACATGGGGCTGTCCAGTCAAGACAGTGAGGAGAACAAGCAATAAAACACACGGCAACATGGGGCTGTCCAGTCAAGACAGTGAGGAGAACAAGCAATACAACACACGGCAACATGGGGCTGTCCAGTCAAGACAGTGAGGAGAACAAGCAATACAACACACACGGCAACATGGGGCTGTCCAGTCAAGACAGTGAGGAGAACAAGCAATACAACACACGGCAACATGGGGCTGTCCAGTCAAGACAGTGAGGAGAACAAGCAATACAACACACACGGCAACATGGGGCTGTCTAGTCAAGACAGTAAGGGGAACAAGCAATACAACACACACGGCAACATGGGGCTGTCCAGTCAAGACAGTAAGGGGAACAAGCAATACAACACACAGCAACATGGGGCTGTCCAGTCAAGACAGTGAGGAGAACAAGCAATACAACACACACGGCAACATGGGGCTGTCCAGTCAAGACAGTGAGGAGAACAAGCAATACAACACACAGCAACATGGGGCTGTCCAGTCAAGACAGTGAGGAGAACAAGCAATACAACACACAGCAACATGGGGCTGTCCAGTCAAGACAGTGAGGAGAACAAGCAATACAACACACACGGCAACATGGGGCTGTCCAGTCAAGACAGTGAGGGGAACAAGCAATACAACACACGGCAACATGGGGCTGTCCAGTCAAGACAGTGAGGAGAACAAGCAATACAACACACAGCAACATGGGGCTGTCCAGTCAAGACAGTGAGGAGAACAAGCAATAAAACACACACGGCAACATGGGGCTGTCCAGTCAAGACAGTGAGGAGAACAAGCAATACAACACACAGCAACATGGGGCTGTACAGTCAAGACAGTGAGGGGAACAAGCAATAAAACACACAGCAACATGGGGCTGTCCAGTCAAGACAGTGAGGGGAACAAGCAATACAACACACACGGCAACATGGGGCTGTCCAGTCAAGACAGTGAGGGGAACAAGCAATAAAACACACACGGCAACATGGGGCTGTCCAGTCAAGACAGTGAGGGGAACAAGCAATACAACACACGGCAACATGGGGCTGTCCAGTCAAGACATTGAGGAGAACAAGCAACACAACCCACACGGCAACATGGGGCTGTCCAGTCAAGACAGTGAGGAGAACAAGCAATACAACACACAGCAACATGGGGCTGTCCAGTCAAGACAGTGAGGAGAACAAGCAATACAACACACACGGCAACATGGGGCTGTCCAGTCAAGACAGTGAGGAGAACAAGCAATACAACACACAGCAACATGGGGCTGTCCAGTCAAGACAGTGAGGAGAACAAGCAATACAACACACACAGCAACATGGGGCTGTCCAGTCAAGACAGTGAGGAGAACAAGCAATACAACACACAGCAACATGGGGCTGTCCAGTCAAGACAGTGAGGAGAACAAGCAATACAACACACAGCAACATGGGGCTGTCCAGTCAAGACAGTGAGGGGAACAAGCAATACAACACACACGGCAACATGGGGCTGTCTAGTCAAGACAGTGAGGAGAACAAGCAATACAACACACACGGCAACATGGGGCTGTCCAGTCAAGACAGTGAGGAGAACAAGCAATACAACACACACGGCAACATGGGGCTGTCCAGTCAAGACAGTGAGGAGAACAAGCAATACAACACACACGGCAACATGGGGCTGTCCAGTCAAGACAGTGAGGAGAACAAGCAATACAACACACACGGCAACATGGGGCTGTCCAGTCAAGACAGTGAGGGGAACAAGCAATACAACACACACGGCAACATGGGGCTGTCCAGTCAAGACAGTGAGGAGAACAAGCAATACAACACACACGGCAACATGGGGCTGTCCAGTCAAGACAGTGAGGAGAACAAGCAATACAACACACACGGCAACATGGGGCTGTCCAGTCAAGACAGTGAGGAGAACAAGCAATACAACACACACGGCAACATGGGGCTGTCCAGTCAAGACAGTGAGGAGAACAAGCAATACAACACACACGGCAACATGGGGCTGTCCAGTCAAGACAGTGAGGGGAACAAGCAATACAACACACACGGCAACATGGGGCTGTCCAGTCAAGACAGTGAGGAGAACAAGCAATACAACACACACGGCAACATGGGGCTGTCCAGTCAAGACAGTGAGGGGAACAAGCAATACAACACACACGGCAACATGGGGCTGTCCAGTCAAGACAGTGAGGAGAACAAGCAATACAACACACACGGCAACATGGGGCTGTCCAGTCAAGACAGTGAGGAGAACAAGCAATAAAACACACAGCAACATGGGGCTGTCCAGTCAAGACAGTGAGGGGAACAAGCAATACAACACACACGGCAACATGGGGCTGTCCAGTCAAGACAGTGAGGAGAACAAGCAATACAACACACACGGCAAAATGGGGCTGTCCAGTCAAGACAGTGAGGGGAACAAGCAATACAACACACACGGCAACATGGGGCTGTCCAGTCAAGACAGTGAGGAGAACAAGCAATACAACACACACGGCAACATGGGGCTGTCCAGTCAAGACAGTGAGGAGAACAAGCAATAAAACACACAGCAACATGGGGCTGTCCAGTCAAGACAGTGAGGAGAACAAGCAATACAACACACGGCAACATGGGGCTGTCCAGTCAAGACAGTGAGGAGAACAAGCAATACAACACACATGGCAACATGGGGCTGTCCAGTCAAGACAGTGAGGAGAACAAGCAATACATACTGCACAGCAATGATCATGTGTTTCCTTCTGACTTTCTGTGCTCACCTTGAATCTTTCCTGTGCAGGGTTTTGGGCAGGAGATCTCGGTCAACGTATACTGCATTTGGATAGTACCAGACCAGGACACAGCCATCTGTCATTGCTGCCAGCATGTTGGTATCGTCATTCCACGCCAGGGACTGGATCATTGTACCTGATCATAGATTTGCAATATACTCAACACAACATTGACCTGGGGATCCACTCTAAATTTAGAAATATTAATACATACCTACTGTTAAAGCGCGATGTTCCAAATTAAAATAAAGAGGTATCTACTCTACAGTGGGACTTCATCAAATTTCAAAACACAGTAGGTATATTTCCATTCTACCATGACGGCAACAATGCTTTGAAAACGGTGCTCTCTTGCAACACGTAACAACACAGGTACACAGGTCTGCAATCTTAGATCATTCCGAAAAGTGGTCACAGGTAGTTATATATGTAACAATTATTACTAAAGTTCAAGATTAAAAACACCATAGTCGTGAGTAGTTCAAAATAAGTGTTCAAAACACATAGTTTTTCAAAAGAAGTTGACAAATAACACTCCAAACTTAGTCCAAAGACAGACGTTTTAATTTCTTCCAACCTGTTGTACACTGTTTCGGCTGACCCTGTCATTTCTCAGAATTTAGTGAGAGAGGTCATTTCTTGGAAATCAAACATGCCATCATTTCTATCATAGGCGTGACAGGTTGTAGCAAAAGGTTTTAACTTGTTAAACAAATATATTTCTACAACAAACTTTATGAATTAACATTCTGTTTGTAGCGGCCATAAAATTTCCGAGTCCCGTGATGGGATTCGAACCATGGACCTTCTGATCCGAGGTCGGACGCCTTGTCCACATGACCAAAGAGGTTAACCCCGTCAGCAAGCTGACAAGGTAAGGATGTCATCTGTGGGATGACTCCACGCCCTGCTACATACTCCCCCGGCAACAGAAGGCACGTCCCGGGCCGCATAGTAGGGTACTGAGGCTTATTTTGCTCAAATTTAATATGAACGTGCTCAGCCCCACGTTGGGCGCCAATGTAGCGGCCATAAAATTTCCGAGTCCCGTGATGGGATTCGAACCATGGACCTTCTGATCCGAGGTCGGACGCCTTGTCCACATGACCAAAGAGGTTAACCCCGTCAGCAAGCTGACAAGGTAAGGATGTCATCTGTGGGATGACTCCACGCCCTGCTACATGTTCATTATTTAACATGTGTAAGTGTTATTAGTTATTTGGCAATTAATTACCCCCAGTGAAAAATAATATAACAAAAAAAATGCCTCTCCACCCCGAACTTGGATGTGGCAGAATTGACCTACATCACTGTTACTCACAGCTGTCAATGGCTGACAATCTTGCGTTTACATTCTCCGTAACTATATAAAAGAAGCAAGATGACAACCCCGATCTATGATGTGGTTCAACATTAACCTGTAGATTTACTGGGATTGATCGAGCCTGCTGGCACAATATGATAACCAATGGAACCGAGTATGAGTGAACAGCTGCTTTTTTAGCCTGTAGACGAGTCAGACATTTCGACACGAGGTAGGGCCTATCTCAGTATCTGAATGTTGTGACCTGTCAATTTCAAGATCATGTTGTCATGAATAAAAAAAATTCAAACAATTTTTATAACGTTATATTTTACTTTCATTGTCGGTTGTTTCAATGAGGAAATAGCTTAAATTGTTCCGATTCTGGTCACCATAGAACATTTCCCTAACAGTTTCATAAATATTTTATCTGTATGCAAAAGATATGCCTTCGTTTAATCTTTTAATGTCATCATCGAAGCAGTCAGGGTTGCGGCCAAGCCAACGCCCAAAACATCCGATATCAAACTACCATATTTCCTCTATTTGACACTATGCCGTCTTTTAATTTCGCGAGAGCCCTTGACTGGGCGTGTATTAGAGACCTAGCTGGTATTAGAGACCCAGCGTGTATTAGAGGAAATATAGATACGTTTTACAGTTCATATGGGGTGATCAATCGGCAGCCATTTTCTATGCATCAATATGAAGGCTATCTCTGTATCCATACGCACATTTTTTTTTAAAAGGCTTAATATATTTGAAAGGGGTTTCCTTAGCAAAAAGGAAACCTCTTTTAAACCAATCAGAATCAAGAATTCATCAATGTCATGGTTAAATCTATATTAGCGCTGTGATATGTAAATGTACTCGGTGTTTGTTGATTGTCATGACATGGCGGTCAGCTTCCCTCTTGTTCTGCGCATGCCTAGTTTGGAATGTTGCAGTCTGTGTGTCTTAGTGCTGCCGCTTCCATGTTTTCAGAAGCATGTTCTCAGATTTATGATGCTGTTTCTTAGTTTTGGGGTAAGTTCTCACCGATTTCTCACAAAATCTATTCTGTGTTGAAAAACAGCAAATGTCTCTGATTTTTATCAGACACCGATAAAAGTACTGTGCCAGAATGTTATTTTATTTAGCAGCTTTACAGAAACTGTGAGTTAACAAAATACTGCCTTATATCTGAAACGACATACACGTATATATGAAATGGATTTATATGCTTATGTATAACATTATACATCAATAAAAAAAATATAACCTGCCGGAAATGATGAAAATTGATTTTCCTCTATAACGTCAAAAGTTGACAGAGAGGTACAAGTACAAAGAAAAGGAGGCATAACTCCGCTATACTCAGAATAGTTTATAGTAACTCAGGTCACTTGGTGAGAATTAGCTGTGGATAAAGACAATATATTTTCATGGTGTTTTGTTCACGAGGAACCCAATTATTCCAACACAAATATCAATATTGAAACTTTATATGTTAAGGTATGAAAAAAATACTATAAAAAATGATGAAATTGTACTTCATAAAAAAGTAAGTAATAGCGAAATGGATGGCCCTATCTGACCTATAAATTAGTCTTTAGATTCCAGCATTCTCCTGATTGTGCAAGTGTTATTTGACTAATGTTGCACTATTATTAATGGAGCACTAGCCTTATCATCAAATGTAATGAATTTATGAAAAAAATGACACCTCTCCTGAATGCAGCCTGTCCTTAACAGGGATAGAAACTAACAGTTTTAGTCCACTAGTCCTTATAATGATAGCATATAGCAAAACCCTTAATAATGGCAAATTTCTGGATGGAGGGAGTTTGATTTGTCCACTAACAGCTGTCTGTGGTCACACAGACCTCTTGTGTGGATCACAGAAATCGATGTACTTCAAGTAACTAGTATCACCTCAATAGGTTCCTTGCGCTAAATAACTACAATGATTGTACATAATAACCAAAACTTTAATACTAATTCCTAAATGTTCTTTGAAGGGAAGTTTGTCTTCATCGATGGGATGGCGTCACTTCCTGTGCAAGTACCAAGGTGCTGAACTGGTGAAGACCAGCAACATTGTCGACAGTCGTAGGTAGTGACTATTGAAGATGGACAGAAACATCTCTCCATGATACTCGAGACGGAGAAGTTACGGTGACGAGCCACTGTAGAGGAATTTAAAGCACATGTTTCTTGTGCAGATTGTTGGAACTGGGAGGCCGTAAATCAAAGGTAATATCATAGGCATTAAAAATGAACATGAGTTTTCTAATAATGCTTAATTGGTCTTGATTGGTGAACTAACCCAAAGCAATGTTATAACACGAAAACAGGTAGGTTAGTATAAATATCGGTTCGGGAAGAAGTGTCTACAGATTTGCTCTCGCCTTACCTAGGAACATACTCGGTCCCTGAGAAGTCTATTGTTGTTCACTATTGTTGTATATATTTGTTAGCTACCTATATATATGATGTTCATGTAAATAAATATCGAACAATAGTTATCATTGTTAATAATTCTAAGAATACTACCTCTATTACATCTTTGCCATAAATCCTGTATTTTGTCTTCAGTCAACTTAATTTTCAGATTTTCACCAGTCATCCTCTTCACTGTCAATTACACACAATTAGTTGTTACCAATATAGCATTATAACAACCCAAGCTATGACGTGCGTAATGACGGGAAACTCAGTTCTTCCAACATCTAACCACTAGAGGTAGATGAATTGGGGAGGTGGGTGGGAGTACTTCTGATGTAATAGAGGTAGTATTCTTAGAATTATTAACAATGATAACTATTGTTTGATAAATTCTTGGGAATCCTCTAGCTCTATTACATATTTGCCAGAATATACCAGAGGAACCCGGAGGGATCTGCCTCTAGTAACTCCCTGTGTAATTGACAGTAATTCTCTTCTCGGAGCCATTAAATCACTGATTCTAATCCTGACTCCAGATAATTTCCTTTGAAATTCCTCCTGAGGATGCATGCATCAAGAATCAGCCAGATACATGATGCCTTCACTAAAATTACCGTTATATTTGCTGTTCTTGTTAGTAATAATGATGTCATTTCTGGTCTATTTCTACCAAATGACATCATTTCTTGTTAAAATGGATTTGTGACACTATGTCCGGTGCTGACGTCACTTCTGGTTCTGTCCTCACTTCCGGTTGTGAAGTGCTCTGGTTTGTCACTTCCCTTTATTGGATAATGACATCTCTTATGGTCTGTTTTTACCAAAAGACGTCATTTCCTGATAGATGGACCTTGTATTGTTATTTCCAGTGATCATTTCCAGGTATGCTCTCACTTCCGGTTCTGACGTCACTTCCGGTCACTAGAAGCAGTTGATACTCAAGGTGCTCCTAATCCATCCTACACCTAATAAACAGAATAATCAAGGGTGTACCTACCCTCTGATGCTAGTGGTGTTGGATCCTCTCCCCCATCCCCTTTTTTTCAATAGAAGTAGGAAACTATTGGTAGATGATGGTTTGCGCCCCGACAATGGGCCCAAGGGAATAAACGCTCTCTAGGTCCGGCTGTACATCACTCAAGTAAAAACTGGTGAAGGTGTTTTGTGAGCCCAACTGACAACTAGACACAACTTGTTCCAATAAAACAGATGTCCATGAATCGAGACTCGTGGCTAGGGCTCTGATCTCATGAGCTGAGCAGGATCCAAGATGTGGTGTGGAATTCTGTGCCTGTGTCTACCTCGCTGCAACGGTAGCTATAAGCCAGCTCACTATTGTAGCCCCAGTGATGTCCTTGTTGGACTGAGGCTTGCAGGATAGGAATAAACTCCTTTGAAGCTTCTAT